AGAATTTACTCTCCATCCACTAAAATGCCCGAAACACGGCATAAACACGGCGCGGACACGGTTACGCCAAGGCCACGGCTACAAGACCAATCACATTGCGCGTGAAAAAATCAGCCAATTAAAATTCTAGAAAGCATCACGGTCACGGCACGTCACGCTTACGGCACTGAGCTTTTCACAGTCATACGAAAACTACTCTAGCGGTGAAGGTGACGCACAAATCATGGGTGAACAAAATCACCGGACTATAAGCATTTTCGGAGCTTGAAAGAACGAAGCAAAACGTCGCGGCTATGTGACTAATTGTTTTTAGTCTTCATTGCCATATTCCTGCTTCTTGTAAGCACGTATATTATATTAGTCAAAAGAAAACACAAAAATACGCAAAAATTGGGTTACAGTAGYCTGGGAATGAGGGCCAGCGGCAAAACAGCTAAACGTGATGTGATTGGCTAACACAAAATCCCTCGCTCATCTGGAAGGCCCAGAAGACTATAGTCTTTTGCAACTTATTGAATTTCTTATCTATTTCTTTTTTTACCATGAAAGGTAAGAAGAGTTATCAATCCAGTATATGTAGTGCAATCTTCGGTTCAAAGTGCTACTGGGAATTTCGAAGCCGCCAATCAAACAGTAGTGACCTTTTTCAGACGATGTCCTGTAACATCTCAGTTACTATCTTTACAACAAGCGATGCTTGGGGATGAAAAAGGAGCAGCAGCGACACAATTGGAATTCTTACGTAATCTAGGGATTCCTGTTCCTAAGGTATTGTTTTGTCCCCCCTGCATTCCAAAGTGTTGCAAGGGGTTCATAGTAGACCATACACCTTTACCTTCTACCTCCCACATTTTTTTCTTAAGGTGACTGCCTACTTTTGAAAATTGATTTAAGCTTTCTTTAAAACTTCGATTTTCCGAATTGAAATTTAATGCTGATTCCAAATCTGGAAAAAAAAATAGGGTGTCCCGAGCTCGTTTTCGAGATAATCAGCATTTAATGGAAGCCTACGCACGAGCTTTTGGAGTAAAAATTGCGCCACCG